AAATTTAAAACCAGTGTTTTTTGTCCTTAAAATTTACCCCATTTATGACGAGTTGGAGACAGCCTTCCCCTACTGGGAAAGGAACCCACACACATTTCACACACATCCATCCCTATATACGACAATTTGTGATATAGAACCCATAGCTTAGGTTCCTCTATAAGAGCAGGCACGAGGGAACTGGATATATTTGTGAGATCGAAGTAAAGGTGGAAACAGCGCAGGCCAGGTCTGTTTTGAAGTCTATTGGCCTGAGTCTGGCCTGTGATCTGTTATAGGCTTATTTTTCAGCTTGAGTCTGGTCTGTATAAAGACCTGGCTTGGCCTGAAGCCTGTTAAAAGGCCTATATTTTTAAAAAATTTAAATTATTATTATTATTTTTTAAAAAAAGCTAAGATTAAAAAAACATACATAATAATTAAATTTTTAGTCTTGTCTTTTATTTAAATTTTAGTATCATAAGTACTATTTTAAATCTTAATTATAATTTATAAGAATATTATTGAAAACTAATTGTAATTATATGTTAAAATTTGGAATAAGACTACATTTAAGTACACACAAAAAATTAAAATTAAGACAAATAAATAAAAAGGAAAAAATACTAATTTTATAATGAATAAAGAGGGTATCATACTTCAATTAATATAATACGCAATTTAGTTAATTTATCATTCTTGGAACAAAATTTTTCTTTCCTATTTTCTTTATATTTTTAAGATTTAAAAATCACATTATTTATTGATATTATTATTTTAAATTATATTTTTATCTTCACTTGTCATCTAAACTTCAAAATCTAAGAAAAGATTAAGCTATTAACTATATATTAAAATTAAAAAATAAATTAAAAGAGCACATTAATAATAATACCATTAATTAATTTTTTCATATATTATAATTATAAATTCCTAACAGGCCTAACAGGCTTTTTAAAGGCCTAAGCCTAGCCTGTTTAACTAAACAAGCCTTCAAACAGGCTTGAGCCTGGCTTTTTTAAGAAACAGGTCAGGTCAGGCCAAATGCAGGCTAGGTCATAGGCCCCTGACAGGCTGCTTGGCCTGTTTCACCCCTAGATCAAAGAAAGTATTTCTGGCTTTTTTTTTTGGTGGAAATATCTAAGCTGATGATAAAAAATGGAATGGGAGGGAGCAGACGCGGGAGATATTTGCGGTTATGATTTGATTTGAAAGGGGTAAAAATTCAAAGAGGGGTGACCAACTTTGAAGTTGGAAGCATACGAGGGTGATGTGGACGGGGGGTCCAGTTTGAAATGAACACGTGACATGCACAATCATCGGCCCCCTGCCACTTTGTTAATCTTGCCCCTTAATTTGCGTAACCAACTATTCCCGCCTCCTATCACGGCTAATTCGTAAAACTCGACTGCATATGCCTGTTTGGCATCACTTATTTTGACTTATAAGTAGCTTATAAGCTCTATAAACTCGATTGACATAATTGGGTCTGTTTGGATGAGCTCTTTTGCAATCGGGCTTTTGTCTGAAAAGTTACAATAAATTATAAGCTAAAATTAACAGCTTATGACTTACAGCTTATGGCTTATAGCTTTTGAAATATAGAGAGAGAGAAAGTTAAGAAATTTATTATCTCTTTTGGTTCTTATTATAAGCCTCAAATAACTAATTTGTAGATAATAAATCAGTTAAAATTAGTTGAAAATAATGAATAAGTTAGAAGTATATTTTTATTTTTAAATATGCTCCTAAAAATATACTTTTATTTTTTCATGTTTCACTTTATATTTAAAATACTTTTTATGACTTATTCATATTAAATTATTTTAATTTTATTGTCTTATGTGAAATTATTTTTTAATCATGTTTCATTATTTATTAAAACTCATATCTATTTTGGTCATTTTACAACCAAACTTACTTTTACTCAATCATAATCCAAACAACCTTTTACCAATCTCACTTTTGCAATCTAGCTTTTCTGAACTCTAATCCAAACACAATTCAGCTTATCCAATTTAGCTTTTATCTAATTTCACTTCTCTATAAAGCTACTTTTTTAATAAGCTACTTTTTAATCGCTGATCCAAACGGACCTAGTGGACCTGGCCTCAGTAATTCAAACAGCTTTTTCCCGCTCTTTTCACGCATGCACCCGGTAGACTGAATATGTAGAATAGTATAATAATATAGCTTGAAGGCTTGTTCGACGCCACCGTGAAGTGGTACTAACTAATCTATCAACCTCAAAATTCTGTTTCTGGCCTTTTAATGATGTTTGTGGCCTTTTAATGATGTTTGACGTGGTTTGGTAATTGACCTTTTTGTGTAAAAATCCTTTTAAAAAATTAGCAGATTTTTCTAATTTTTGGCCCTTTTTTTTAAATTTGAATATGTGGAGACTAACTTTTCAATATTCTACATCACTTAAACCAGTTTGGAAAAATAGCAAATAAAAACCCTTCAATACGTGTAATTGTGATTTGGGATCCTCAATTTGAAAAATAGCACATAAAATCTCGATCCCACATTGCAAATATGAAATCTTGATAAAATATCTGAAATGCCCCTCAGTCAAATGACAAGTTAACTATAAGAAATAACAAGTTTATTTTAGTGAATAACAATTTCAGTAGATCAAATTACAACTTGGCTGAAAGTATATCACATAACAAGTTGACTATAGGAAATGACCAGTTCACTTTAGTAAATGACAACTTCAGTAGACCAAATCACAATTTAATTGAGAAGTATTTCAGATATTTCATTAAGATTTCATATTTGTAGTATGGGATCGAGTCTTCATTTGCAATTTTTGTTCAATTAATTTCTTTTTATAAAAGTTTGTCTAAACATAAATTATATTACCTCCTGTCTTTAATGTGAAAGTTAGTTTGATTTTTAATTTGATCCTAAATAGAAGACACTCATTTATTTTATCTCTCATATTTATCTATTTTTTTCCTAAGGTAATCCTTGTAGTAATTGCATATGTTAAAAGTTTCATCAAATAGTAATTCTAGCTAATATATTTTATTAACAAGGATATTTTAGGGGAGACAGCATATCTTTATTATAAATAATTAATTTAAATAATTTTTTTAATTTATTTAAATTAATCAATCAGCTCTTGTATTTAAAATTAGAGGTAGTACAACATTAATTAATTGAATCCTATCCTACCTTTAGTTCATAAAAGTTAGTCCGAATAAAAATCATTTTTATCAACATGAATTTAAATAAGCTCTAAGCAATTGACAATGCATTAATTAATCGAATAAACCCAATAATTTCATGGCACCCGGTGGCTAATCTTACCACCTTTTCCTCCTCTTGGACCGCATGCTTCTCTTTCACAGTATTTGTTCTAACCCTTCTACGAGGAAGAGGATTCACACACTCCCAACTCTTATAATATTCATGGATTTGATCACTCAACCTCGCCAAGTCCTAAGGGTTACCATGTTGCCATATAAGAGTTAATTGATTAATTTTAATCAATTAAAAAAATTATTTAAAATTAATTATTTATAATAAATACGTATTGTCTTCTTTAAAATATCTTTAATAATTATATATATTAGTTAGAATTTTTAATATACATAATTATTACAAAGACTATTCTAAAAAAAGATAAACATGATAAATAAAATGGATTGAGATTTATATTTAAAATCAAATTAAATGTTAAACTAATTTTTATATTAAAAATAGATGGATATCTTAAATGAGTGTGACCCTTCTCAGCATATAGAGTTAAACGCCTGTGAATACGAGAGTCCAGAGTTGGAATGCTGGCTGGCCTACAGATGGGAGTAGGTTGAAGCAAGTTGGACGCTTTTGCAAATTGACAAAAATGACAGTTCGAGGCCGTCATCAACCCTTTTAACTCATATTACCAATTCCAGTGGGGCCTCCTTTGCTGGAATGACTGTGGGAATGCCGTATGAATTACTTGAAACGCGTATCAATAATTCACTAACCCTCTATTTACGAAAGTGAACAGAATAAAGAAAGGAGGGAGAAGAGCACTAAAACCAAGGCAAAGGGGAAGTGCCCATACAGGAGAGATTATGTCATCAAAGCGAAGCACAACAGTGCAGTGAAGCAGCAGGTGAGAACTCAGAACAGCCATTTACCCCTGCCACCAACACACAACATCACAAGACTCCCTATATATATGTGTGTGCGCGCGCGCGCGTGTATACGTATATGTATCGAAGAAAAAGACCCAGATGAAATTATGAATAAGGAAATGCAGATCCCATATCCATAACATGATGATGCTTATTAGACTCCTGGGACCCACTTCCCCCTCCACGCGTTTCCAGCTGTGCCCCCTGTCCTCACTCTCTTCACATGCATCCTCTTGTGCACAGACGCCTTCCCAAACTAATCCCCCCACCCCACTCTCCACTTCCATTGCTTATTAATCACTCATTATTTAGTTATCTAATCACCTTCCTATGCTCATGTGAGTGCAGATTGTCAGATTCTATTCCCTCCCTCCCTCCCTATTCATCGGCATCGCCCTTTCCTTTATAGTGTTTCAAGTAATTATACAGATATATAATCCTTTGTGAAACAACTCAATATCGTCAGCAGTTCTCACCATAAAAATGACGGATGTGTTCATTTTGAGATGCGTGTTCAATATTCAAGAAAAGAGAAGATGTCAATGTAATAGATAATAAAGAAGATGAATTGGACCCAAGTCCAACTTAAAAGCCATTTAGCATCGCCATTGTTTAGAGAAAGCAAACAAGAGGGCCCAATAAAAGACGGCAATTTTCAATCAGATGGTGAGGGACAGATTATAAGCACGAGTGACGGCACCGACGACGATGACCCAGAATGTGGTCTGGATGGTATTTATGTAATTAAAGATGGAATAAGGCCCCATTTAATAATTGTTGTTCAGCATAGACACGACAAGAGTATCCCCTCAAAATTTTCCTTCTGGATCCCATCCTCCTTCCCTCATTATTTATTTAAACCACTATATACTCCACTCTGCCCTCTCCAACTTCCCCTGTCTCCCTTCCTTCTCTCCAGTCCCAGCCATGGCTTCCGTGGCCTCCTCCTCCTTCCTCTTCCTCCTTCTCTTGCTTGGTCTCTCCTCAATTATGGCCAAGAAGACTTACATTGTTCACATGAAACACCATGACAAGCCTTCCGTCTACCCTACTGCCCGTGACTGGTACTCTGCCAATCTCCAGTCTCTTTCCTCTTCCTCTGATTCCGATTCTCTGCTTTATTCTTACACTTCTGCTTACAATGGCTTCGCTGCTTCCCTCGACGCTTCTCAAGTCGACGCTCTCCGTAGATCCGATTCCGTTCTCGGGGTATACGAAGACACCGTCTACACACTTCACACCACTCGGACCCCGGAGTTCCTGGGTCTCGAAACCCAGTCCGGGACGTCGCAAGGCCATAACACTCTGGCACTTGAACAAGCTTCCCACGATGTCATCATCGGCATTCTCGACACTGGTGTATGGCCCGAATCTAAGAGCTTCGACGATACGGGAATGCCCGAGATCCCATCGCGGTGGCGCGGAGAGTGTGAGTCCGGTCCTGATTTCAACCAATCGCTCTGCAACAAGAAGCTCATTGGGGCTCGTAGCTTCTCCAGAGGCTTCCACATGGCTTCCGGTGGCAGTTACATGCGGAAAGAACAAGAAGCAGTGTCGCCCCGTGACCGAGACGGACATGGTACTCACACCGCAAGTACAGCCGCGGGGTCCCCCGTCCCTAATGCCAGCCTACTCGGTTATGCCCGTGGAACTGCCCGTGGGATGGCCCCACAAGCGCGTGTCGCTGCGTACAAGGTTTGCTGGAGTACTGGGTGCTTTGCGTCCGACATACTCGCGGGCATGGATCGGGCCATCCAGGATGGAGTGGATGTTCTCTCACTCTCCCTCGGCGGCGGTTCCGCCCCTTATTACCGCGACACTATCGCCATCGGAGCCTTCGCAGCCATGGAGAGAGGCATCTTCGTCTCGTGCTCGGCAGGGAATAGCGGACCCAGCAAGGCTTCGGTGGCGAATGTGGCTCCATGGATCATGACCGTCGGTGCCGGAACTCTGGACCGAGATTTCCCGGCTTACGTTTCTCTGGGGAGCAATAAACGCTTCAATGGCGTTTCACTCTACAGTGGAAAAGGAATGGGTGACCGACCCGTGAGCTTGGTTTACAACAGAGGGTCGAATAGCTCGACCAGCATGTGCATGCCCGGTTCTCTCGACCCCTCTGTGGTTCGTGGGAAAGTGGTGATTTGTGACAGGGGGATCAATGCGCGCGTGGAGAAGGGAGAGGTGGTGCGTGACGCCGGAGGCGTTGGTATGATCCTGGCAAACACTGCGGCGAGCGGCGAGGAACTGGTGGCGGACAGTCACCTGCTACCGGCACTGGAGGTGGGGAGAAAGGTGGGTGATGAGATCAGGGAGTATGTACGGACGGATCCAAACCCAACGGCTATTTTGAGCTTCGGTGGGACCGTGTTGAATGTGACGCCGTCGCCTGTGGTGGCAGCGTTCAGTTCCCGAGGGCCCAATCTAGTGACCCCCCAGATATTGAAGCCCGATGTGATTGGGCCTGGTGTTAACATCTTAGCGGGTTGGTCCGAAGCTATTGGGCCCTCTGGATTGTCTCAGGACAGTCGTAAAACCAACTTCAACATCATGTCAGGTATCTCTCCCAGTCCACTCTTTACTCTTGCAATTTTGTTACGCCAAAATCTGTTTTCGGGGTCATGTACATTTGGAACACGCATATCTTCCAGGTCAAAAAATTAAAAAAAATAAAAATTAACACGCATATCGTAGTTATAGTTCTATGCGAGTCAGGTCAACACAATACTAGTTAGTCCTATAAATAATGGGGTTTTACTGACATTGAGGTTTTTGTTGCTCCGTACATGCATCCAAATGGATCATCGTCTCGTTCCTGGTCATGCTGATCATACTTTTGTCTACCCATAGATTCTTTTTCCTGAGCAAATCAGTTTATATTTTTGCTTTAAGGGTGTTTGGATGAAACTAAATCATAGTTTTAAAAGTGTTTTTAGTTTATAAAATAAATATGTGAAGAGTTTGTTTCGTTTTATAGAAAAGTGCTTCTGAGGGTTACCAAACACCCTTTTAGTCAGAAAAAAGTTGGAATTTTGTAATTCTCATTTTCAATTTTCAATTTTCAGCGACTCAATGGAGCGCATCCCCACAATAAAAATCATAGATCACTTTTGAAAAATAGTGTATAATTTCCATTTTAATTTTAATATTCTTCATGAAATAGTTTTAATTTTTATTATCACGATCACAAACCTAACCTCTTGACTTTTTCAATTTCTCCAATTTTCATGTAAAACGAAAAAATAAAACTGGGCAATGACTTCGTAGAAATTTGAAGTTTAGGATTTTCGTGAAGGAGATGATCTTATCGATTTTTTAGAGTAAATCTTCGCTTCTGAATTTTGGGTGCTTGGGTAATTTACAGGGACGTCCATGTCTTGCCCACACATCAGTGGATTGGCCGGATTGCTGAAAGCCGCTCATCCAGATTGGAGCCCGAGTGCAATCAAATCGGCGCTAATGACCACCGCCCATACGCGTGACAACACCAATTCCCCTCTCAGAGATGCCGCCGACGGAGGCTTCTCCACCCCAATGGCTCACGGCGCCGGCCACGTCAACCCTCAGAAAGCCATCTCTCCCGGACTGGTCTATGACGCCTCCGCCTCCGACTACATTGCATTCTTGTGTTCCCTACGGTACAGCCCCCAACAAATCCAACTCATCGCCAAGCGCCCCAACGTCACCTGTTCCAGGAAATTTTCCGACCCCGGTCAGCTCAATTACCCATCTTTCTCCGTTGTGTTTGGGAGCAAGAGGGCGGTTCGCTACACACGCACTTTGACCAACGTTGGAGAAGCCGGCTCTGTGTATGATGTGGCCGCGACCGGACCGTCCTCGTTAGTTGGAATGACGGTGAAACCCACGAAGTTGGTGTTTAAGAAGGTAGGGGAAAGGCAAAGGTACACGGTGACTTTTGTATCAAAGAAGGGTGCTGATAGTTCGATTAGGTCCGAGTTTGGAAGCATTGTGTGGAGCAACGACAAGTACCAAGTTGCGAGCCCTGTTGCTTTTGCTTGGACAGAGTTAGATTAGTGAGTTATGTTTGTGGCTCTTAGATTACCACCATGTCGAGCCTAACAGAGGTTTCCCTTACCAGAAAACACGCATAAAACGGAGCTTCCAGAAGATATAAGCAGGACAAGTGGGGATGGTGTGGATTTTAAAAAAAAAACAAAAACAAAAAAGGTTGATTTGGAAAGGATGAAACAGAAAAAGAGGCTGCTTTTCTGTGTGGTGTGTCTCAGTTAAACGAATGTAACAAATAGAGGTGACTCTTACAATATGTAACTTGGCGGGATGCAGCTTGATGCCGTGTAGCAGATATCCTTCTCAAGGATTTAATTAATTAAATCTCTCCCTGTTTCAGATTCCGTCAAGTTCTCTTTCTTATTCCCTATGAAGAAGGGGGGCTAAACTCCTTTTACTCCTTCTGTTAAGGTCTTGATTTCTGAGTTAAAAGAAAGTTCAAGTCCAAATATTAGTTTAAGGGGGAGTAAAAATCTTATGATCTAAGGTTGCTCCAAGTCTTGAATTCTTCATTAACATGGGACTTAACAGACAAGCATATTCAGTCTGCTCGCAACGGTGATTGAAAGGGCATAGTCTGGTTTTTCGAATCTGTCAAACTTATCTAAATTAGATCTTCACAATTTCACATGTTATAATTTCCCGTAAGACGATGATTATTGATTATTGATGCTTGTACTCAATGAAACAATTGAAAAGACCGGTCCTGGGTGCCGTGCTCTGTTTCTGCAGAAAAAAAGAAGCCGTGGTGGTGGTCACTCATTTTGTTGCCATTTGATCATTTCGAATCTCTGAATTTTCCATAGGCCCACTCGTTGACAACTCTCAAAATAAAAAATGTTCAAGGAAAAGGAAAACACTTTTTAACTTTCCCTTTGTCCTTAGTGAGCCGGGCAGAGTTAGCAGGATGGATCTGTGTTATAAAATTGCCTCATTTTTTTTTTTTACCGTTGTAATCCCTCGCTTGACTTGTGAATTGCAATGGCCGAGAGGTCGAAGAATAAAGGGTCTAAGCTGAGCAATTAAATTTGCCCAATTAATTTAATTTTGTCCCGTGTCTAACTCGGAATCAGGGAAACAGTAAATAAATCTCCATATTTCCGACGTTTATAAATGTTGAAGCAGTTTTCAATATAGAAGCATTTACCCTTTCTAACATAGCTAAGGTCCAGAAAAATATACAACGAGGACTTCAACATGTACAGGATGAGATAGTTTTATACATAAGCATGCCTAACATATCATTTCTAGGTACAAACTCACATCAAATAATGTTAAACGCTGCAAAATTATCATTCTTGCTATTATTATTTTCAAAACACTCCAATATCTTGATTTCTTTTTTTTTTTTCCCCTTGGTTTGGCGCGTCACTGTTCAACACACTGTCATTCTTGGGCATGTGCATGTACAGTAACAGTTCTTCCAACAGGACCTTGACATGAAGCAACAACATGGGTTTACCACAGGACAGCTAGGACAAGAGCATGAGCAAGAACATTTGCAAGTGCAGCAAGAGGGACTGGAAGGACAGTCAAATTTGCAACAGCGTGGGATGATACAACAATTTTGGCAGCGACAGCTGTGTTTACAGCAATTTGATTTGGGACAAGAGAAGCATCGCCACTTTGGTAAGACGCAAATGCTACATGATGATGGAAGACAACAAGTGCAGTCGCATAATTTGCAGCATTTACAACATCTTTGTGGTAATTTTAGACGAAGATTGCACCCATCACAGCAGTAACAGCAGATCCAATACAGATTCAAACTGGGCATCCGGCTGCGAGAAAAGTTATGTTAGAAATAGAAATTGTTGAATCACTTACGAATCTTCATTCACCAGATTGTCGTTCAAAATTTAATCACATTGTTCTAAGAAAGCCTCAATGAACAGAAAAGAAAAGTTATCTTAGAACAGTGTGATTAAGTTCTACATCCTTTCAAAGAGCAAGTTAAAGTTTTGCATCAGATTTTCTTTTTTTCTTGGGGGTATCATTCTAAATAATCTTTTTGCTTTTGGTAAGCATTCTGTTCTATCTCGTGTAAGCCTGTATGGTACTTCCTTCACATTCATCAAAACTCCTTTTGTTGAAACAAGACGCCGTCCAGGCTTTGGAGTCATAATTCAGAACACACACAACCATTAGCATTAAGATATCAAGTTACAGGGCAAGGAAAGGGTACCAGAGCCACTTCCAGAAGCGGCGATATAACCGGTGTTTCTTCTTGTTTCTGCGTTAACAAGAAAAGGGGGTGAGAATCGTGATCTCTTTTGAACTGCAAGAGACAAATAACTCAGACAATTCTTACGTAGGTAACAGGGGATCCGCGTTTGCCACCACAAAGTCGATTAGCCTGTAATTTTGTCACGTTTCATTCATCAACGGATATATGTTAGCCGTAATTGTAGCATATGTCTAGCTTAGGCTACTCAAAACATGTAAAATTGCTCAGAGGAAACATTTGAGCAATTTTTCTGGCTTCATAGTTTCATACTTTGAAAAGCATACAAGTGACTCCAAAAGTAAACATACTCTTTGCAGTACGTTGAAGCAGGTTGAAGGCCTTCGGTGAATTTTAATTCGTCCTGCTAGAAGCAAAACTGAAATGAATTTGATTTGAGCTAAAAAGAAAACAGGAAATAAAGTTCTTACTAAATTGACTCTTGTCAGTTCACGAAATGCATCCTGGAAAGTTTGACACTGAAATTGTTCATCCACATAATATTTTAAGCTTTTTAAACATCATCAAGGCTTGTTTATGGTCAACCCATCGCTAAGCCCATTTATCAACCATTCAACATTGGGCATCGCATTGTCAAGGGGGGGAAAAATAAAGCATGGCATTCTAACAAACTCAGCAATTAGAAGCTTAAAGCCTCCCCTGTCCTAAACACAGGACAGGGAGGTTCTTAATAGGTGGCTCAAAAATCATGCAAGTGAAAACAATGTTTCTATGCCTACTAAATGGTTGGTGCTGGCTACGAAATAGAGGAAGCGTCAGCAGCTAGAAGATCCCCGCAAGAGGTTATCAGTTGCTCGTGTATAATTTTATATCACGAGCCTAGGGGCTGCCCATTCTTTTGAGTATCCTAAACATTCTTTAATTGACAATAGGTATCGATATTTGAGACTCTGTTTAAAGTTGTCAAGACGTCACAGATTGCCCAATGAGGTGTGGTGAAAGCACTCTTAACAAGTTCTCTTTTTCATGAGAGACACAAGTGTGGAAGTTCAGACTCACCTGGAGAACACTTATCTCTTTCTCGAGCATTTGAACCCTAGCGATTTCACGGCGCTTCCCGTGCAAATCTGGGTACTTGGGCGGCGACTTCGGGGACGGCGGCGGTAGCGACGGACCCAAAGAAGACCGGCCAGCTGCAGTAGCCATTACTCGCCCCTGTGAGCAGATGAGAAGAGAAAGAATGGGAAGGAGAAGAAAGTAGGAATGGGAACACTCCCTACTGATACAGATGCAAGACAGTGGAGTACAAGGAACAGTAATAGTGAGTGGCAAAGGGAAGAAGCAGTAAAATCAAGTTAGGTGCGATATACCCATATGAAAAGACCAGCAGAGAGACAATAATTAAGAGCCAGAAGCAGAAAAAACAAGTAACGGAGCGAAGGAAAGGAAGGTGAAAAGGGTGAAAATGAGGGAAGAAGGGAAGGTGTTATTATTGGAGTGAGAGTGAGAGAGAATCTGAAACCTGTGAGGATGGAGAGAGTGCATGACAATAATGGCGAAGGGCATTAAATTAGAAATGGTAAAGACGGCTGAGAAAAAGCCTGCAACTGCAAGCTTGAATAGAAACACATATTCAGCAAAGTTGGGACACTGCTGAAATGAAGGAAGAAAGGATGGTGAAGCATAAGAGTTTGTGTTTTGTAGTGAGATTGAGGGGGGAGCAAAAGAAAGGAGAGCAGGAAAGTGCGAAAAGCACGATGGAGGACTCAGACCGCACGTGACGGCTTCTGAGGGAAAGAGAAAGTCTTGTGTTTTGGGCGCCATATCATATAGTATCAGTTTGAGCCCTGATTTTGAGGAAACACTATGTACAGCGCCCCCACTGCCTCCCCATTTTCTGCATAAACATCTTGGTTTGACGATGCTGTCCCCATCTTCCATTTGTATGAGATCGTTTCAGTGCATTAACTCTGCACTTTTATTGGTCCAGAACTTTGAAGAAGAAAATAATTCTGACCGTTTGTTCCATTCAACGCTCCAGATTGTGCCACGCACTCTTTGTTCCAAGTTAAAAATACCGTTTCCATCTGTCCATTCTTTTGCTGCAAGTGCATGGAGGGCAAGCAATCCAGTCCAATAGCATTATTACCAAAAAAAAAAGAAAAACTATTTATAATTTATATGGAGCAGGACTTATTTTGAACTTCATTTGAGGAGCAGAGCCCACGTTTAAAAATAAAATGATTGTTTGGTATGTTATTACTACTACTACTAGTATCTCAAGTCCTTAATTATAAGAGCTAATTAAAAATTATATCTAATCTTAAATATAATGCTTTAATTCATTTTGTTTCTCGCTTTTTTAATCAAAATGTTCTCATTAATTATAAGGAGTTCTCACAACAGGTAGTTCTAATAGTAGGAGCAGAGCCCACTATTAAAAATGAAATGATTGTTTGGAATACTATTATTATTATTATTATTATCACAAATCTTTAATATAGGAGTTAGTTAATAATTAAATTATTTTAAAATATAAAATCCTAATTTTTTTAAAACCAAAATAGTAAGGAATTCTTATAAAGAGTAATTCTAATGTACATGATTAAAAATAATATTTTAGGGATATCAATACATATTTGTAATAAATAACTAACTCAATTAATTTTTTAAATATCTTTAAATTAATTATATATACCAGAGTTACTATTATTGAAGCCTTAAAACCGGCCATTCAATCTTGACAACTCGCTGTGCATCAAATTATCCTCAAACCCAACTGTCTAATCGGTCTTGCAGGTGACACATCTTTATTAAACAGGGTTTTCAAATAATATTATGTGATGGATTAATCTCACCAGCTTTCACGATCCAATTTCCGTCGGTATTCTCTGGGGTTTGGACTCCGGAGTCTTCACATTTTTATTTCTGGTGGGCTAGTAGGCAAAACCCTGCAATTTGATGCTACTTATGTTCAAAACCTGCCCGTCAAAAACATTTTTGTCACGCCTCACCAAACCATGAAAAAATGTATCATTTATCGCTGTATAATATTTATGTCAAGTTTTTTATATTTATTATATTAAATTCTTCAATCACACATAATCACCTATCATATTTTTACAATATTAGCATTTAAAAACATTTAATTCTAAATTCATGTAAGACCAAAAAAAAAAAGAGACACGTGATCATATCTCATGTGTGATTGGATGACTTGACATATTGAATACTAGAAATGACATAAGTTTTTTCCTTCCTAAAATAATTACGTGTCAATAAATTATATTTATGGCATTATTATTTCAATATTTATTGGCTTGATTGTTTTTCCCATGTCTTCAACATGTGGCGGAGAGTTGAGCCTTGTTTATAAAATTAAATTTAACAGCATAAATTACCGGTCTTTTTATAATTTTTTTTCCAAAAATTATAACTTCTATATGTTATTCACACACGCACAAAAGTAACTATAATTAAATTTTGAGCCTGTATTTTACATAGCTTACTAAAATATAAGATGTTTTACTGTTCATAATGCATGACTCAGTTGGTTTTTTACAATTTTATTTTATAAATTGACGTAATAATTTCACCCGGAGAAATTAGTCACCATAACTATACTAGATCTTAACTGAAATTAATCACCAAAACAATCTTAAGTTCTTAACTAACATCAAATAAAACTAGTAGTTTTCAGTTTGACTCGATGACGTAAATTATGAATAGTTCGGCATATTAATTAGTTATAACGTGTTTGAATTAACCTGGGAAGTTGTATAGCGATCATGGAGGCAGGCCAGGCATTCCGGATCCTATCTTATAAAAACAAGGCCGAAAGAAGAATCTACTACTAGCATCCGCAAACCAGTTCTTTCCGTTTATGGAATCATCTTGTCCAATAATTAAGTGAAACTCAAATAATGCGATAAAATCTTAGGAAATTTTGGCTCTTTTTCACTCTCATAATATATTTTCTTGTATATCAGAAAGTACTTTACGACTTTATGCTATACTTGCTTTGGTACTTTGTAAATTATAATTATTAGGAAACTTATTTTGTTTTCCTATCAAGAAAAAATGCGATAAATGATACGTAAAAAAGCAACTTTAACCTTTAATTTTTACTTTACGTGATGGTTTATTTTGGTTTCTTAAATTAATAAAGTATTTTTTTTATCCTCTAACTCTAAGCAGTTAATAAAAAATGTTGACAAAATATTTCTAACGGGTGATGTATTAATTTTGATGTTAAAAAATAATAATGATTGGCATATTATTTGAGGGTGATAGTGTTCGAATTGAATGATTGAAAATATATTTTGTAAAAGAAAGAGATAAAGCTAAAACCCAAAAGCCATACGATAAACTAAAACTAAGCAAAATTAGTTTTTACTTGCATTAATATTGAGTTGATCAAATGTTTTGAATTATTGCATGCGCCTAAGAATCAAGTCACCAGGCCCACGTTATTCCATCCTTTATATGGTCGCCACGTGTCTTGGATGTTCGCCAAACTTCAAGATCATCATAAACACGCTTTTAAAAACGAGAACGTAACTCCCAACTTATGACGCTATTTTCAAACTTCAAGTATAAGGATTGGCACACACTGTATAATTTGAAGCTGTATATAGGCACACAGAAATTCAATACGAATAACTTTTGTTGGGCAAGCTCGAAGCTTATTCATTTTTATAATTAGTATTCCTCCGGTCCTAAATAAAACCCTTATACTAGTGTGTATAAAAGTCTTACATTTAGGACCGGAGGAGTATTTGTTATTGTTGTGATAGTGGTGGGGATGGGAGTATAACAAAATAGAAATAAGAAAGTTTAACACGCTCGAAAATATATTATATATTACTTCACAGAAACAATATACGAGGACTTTTCATCAGAAAAGAATCGACTAATTTGTAAACCTTTTTTTTTTGGCCTTTGTACAGGTATTGGAAGTAATTATATTTAAGACACCATCGAGGCACCTTTTTTGTGGGATTCTCACATTGATTCCCACTATATATATTCTGAATACATTGAATTGTTAGACTATTACTTTTAGGAATTGTGAATGGGTTGATTATGTAATCATCAATTAATAAATCTATAAAAATAAAAGTGACAAGACATTTTCTTTTTCTTTTTCTTTTTTCTTTTACAAACCATGCTGACTTCTAATTTAAAAGCTTATTAATATGAGATTTCCTTGCTTAAGAGTTTTAAAGATATGTGGCATATTATCGTTTTGGAGGTCGAGAAAAGTTTTTTTCACGAATTTTCTCTCAAATAATCCATCGTAAGAACAGATTTTGTTACGGGGGAAAATGATTATCTTGCAAAAGTTCTTTCAGATAAATTACAGTTTTTTCCTTTCACAAAAATAGAATAAATATTGTGCAAAAGCGGTCGGCCTGGCCCCTAGCTCATTCCTGTTATGACACGCTAGTTTCCTCGCAGATTTCTTTTTTCACCCGAATTCACGCAAATTTTCTCTGAAATAAAAAGCAGCGAGAATTTCAACCAGAACCTAACATCTATATATATTAGAAAGTTTTCAAGAATGTTGACAAAAATTTCTATTTAAATTAATTTCATGTGAAATTTTTGTGATGAATTCTCCCTTCTTTTTTATTTCTTTTAGGAATTGAACCTCCCTCGCCTACTATTTTGCGCATATATATAACATGTATGGTATAAAAATTGTAATTTTTATTTTAAATATTATATTTGTGAGGGATGAATAAAAATGCAGTGTACGTGGCTTGAGAAACTAAAGTTTTTTTTTCCCCGGGACAAATACACTTTTAATCTTCTTACTTCATACAAGACTTTAGCTTGATTCTCTTAGTGTTAAAAAGTTTTTTTAAATTATTATTATTTTGAAAATTAAACTTAATAAATTAGTATTTGAGAATATTTTATCAAAATTTAAATTTTAGATATTAGCATTTTTCGTAAATGGTGTCATGACAAAATGGTTAAAAATATACTTATTAAAATTAATTAATCAAAATGAGACATTGTGTGAAATTATTAGAAGTTTAGTTTTGCCAAGTTTTTCTATAAATATTTCACTTATGATAATAAAAATAGTCCCCTTTTATAGAAATTGTTCATGTATAACTCGAAGTCTCAAACCCTTAATACCCAAAAGAGTTGTGGAGTATAATTTCCGCTTCTTCCAGAAAGTAGAAGAAGAAAAAACAAGAAATACATAGGAGTAGTTCAACAGTTTATGTGTCAAAAAGCAGAAGAATAATTCAAAGATTCCCCAAGGAAACAACTTTCGATTAACCCCACGGAAATTCAAAAAGCTCCCGAATCTCTTTATTGAAAACCATTAGCTAAATCGTTAGCTTTCAATTATTTTAGGCTTCATTTTGCTGACTCAAACAATAAAGCTTCTTTCTCTTGGCTTTGCCGCCCTTCCTTTCAATCATAGACTAATATCTCACTGGCCAAACTAATAACCAATTATATCCTCTCCCGCACGCATACCCTAAGAATTGTTTGGCCACTTTCAAGCGCGTGAAGCTATATGTATGCATAGACCCACCAATGC